TGACCGGCCAGCGACTGCCTGACCCTCTCACCCTCCTCTTCCTGCTCCACAGTAATCCTGAACTTCCTGTTCTCCTATTGGCTCAGTCACCGGCTTGCCCAGGATGGCTCTCGGGCTCAGCAGATGGCCTTACACACTCTGAAAATGATGGCCAACGGGGGTATCCGGGATCATGTTGGGCAGGTGAGAGGGAAGCCAGGTTCCCTGGGGGGGTCAGCGGGCCTGGTGACAGAGGCTGAGATGACTCTGGCCCTACATCCTGCCTGGCACAGGGTTTTCACCGGTACTCTACTGACCGCCAGTGGCACATCCCCCACTTTGAGAAGATGCTCTATGACCAGGCACAGCTAGCGGTGGTCTATTCCCAGGCCTTCCAGGTGACTTTTTCCCCTAACCTCAACCCTGGCTGCCAATCCCAAAGCCTTCCAGGTAACTGTGGCTTCCTCCAAATTTCAACCCATAATTACTTCTCACATTCTGGATACCTGGGCGTCCCTCCCCCACTTTCCTGGGAGAATATCCTCTATGAATCTGAGCTGCCCCAGTGACCTCTATTTACAGCCTCCATCCCCCACAGATCTCTGGTGATGAATTCTACTCTGATGTTGCCAAAGGCATCCTGCAGTATGTGACCCGGAGTCTGAGCCATCGGGTGTGTATCTATTGAGGCAGGCAGACCTGGCTGCAGGAGGTCTAAAGGCCTCCATAGCCTTTTAGACAGTGACCAGCCAACTCTCCTATCCCCACAGTCTGGAGGTTTCTACAGTGCGGAGGATGCAGATTCCGCCCCAGAGCGGGGCATGAAGCCCAAAGAGGGTGCTTTCTATGTGTGGACAGTCCAAGAGATCCAACAGCTGCTCCCAGAGCCTGTGGGAGGCGCCAGTGAGCCACTGACCTCAGGCCAGCTCCTAATGAAACATTATGGACTCAGTGAAGCAGGCAATATCAACTCTAATCAGGTGAGGACTTCCGGGGACATGAGAAGGACCCCAGACCCACCAAGTACATGGGCTTCTTCTGATTAAGGCTGTTTTTCTCAGGACCCCAAGGGGGAGCTGCAGGGCCAGAACGTCCTAACAGTGCGGTATTCACTGGAGCTGACTGCGGCCCGCTTTGGTCTGGATGTGGAGGCTGTGAGCACATTGCTCAACACTGGGCTGGAGAAGCTCTTCCAGGCCCGGAAACATCGCCCAAAAGCACACCTGGACAGCAAGATGCTGGCTGCCTGGAACGGTGGGGTGACCCTCTCTAAGGCCTGATCCTATTTGCCAAGGCCCTTTTGTCTGCCCATTCTTCCTTCATAGGCTTCTTTATTTTGATTTAGAAAAGAATAAATGGAGATTTAGAAGCCAAGTAATCTGCCTGGGCTTGGCACTTGGAGTCCCGGGTGTGGGGTGGATGTCCTTGGAGAGCTCTTGTGGGCCTCTTACTACCCCTGGCCTCTCTTTCCTCCAGGCCTGATGGTGTCTGGCTTTGCTGTGACCGGGGCTGTCCTGGGCATGGATAAGTTGGTCACCCAGGCCACCAATGGCGCCAAATTCCTCAAGCGGCACATGTTTGATGTGGCCAGTGGCCGCCTGAAGCGGACATGCTATGCCGGCACCGGGGGATCAGTGGAGCACAGGTAGGGGGCTGGGCAGGCCAAGAAACCATCTTATTGTGTGATTCCAAGCCCTGATCAGTCACCACTTGCCATGTGCACATTCAATATTCCTGGACCCTTTGACTCTTTTGGGAATTGAGCTAACCAGAGCCACAGGAGAGGTGGGTGTTGATTAACCAAGAGAAAGCATGAAAAGTGTCTGCATATTCCTAGGCCTGTCCTCAGACTTGCCTTCTCTCCTGTACCCCTAGTAACCCACCCTGCTGGGGCTTCCTGGAGGACTATGCCTTCGTGGTTCGAGGCCTGCTGGATCTGTATGAGGCCTCACAGGAGAGCTCCTGGCTGGAGTGGGCTCTGCGCCTGCAGGACACACAGGACAGGCTCTTCTGGGACTCCCGAGGTGGTGGCTACTTCTGCAGTGAGGCTGAGCTGGGATCAGACCTGCCTCTTCGACTGAAGGATGGTCAGTATGGCTGTGGGCCAGCCCTGGGTCCTGGTTCTAGTCAGGGCATTTCCTGAGGGAGACATTTGTGCAGTCTTGCAGTAAAAAGCTGGTGTGCGGCTACTGGCTTCCTGTCTTTATTCTGTGTGACTTTGGTAATCTTCCTGATATTTCTGAATCTGCTTCTTAATATACAGACGAGTGTAGTAGCAGTCGTTCTTCAGGTTGTAGCTGTCCTGTGAACATGCAGTTGTCTTTGAAATCCACAGACTCAAGGCACAAGAATGTCTTGGTCTCTGCCTGTAGGACATTTACAGTGTGTGGTAGAGATGAGGGCTGATAACCAGCAACCGTGTAAAATGTAACCCCACTGGAGCATTGAGATCACAGTAAACCTGTGGCAGGTGTCAACCAGGAGGAGCTGTGTGGTTATGGAGGCACTCAGGAGAGAGTTGGGGCAGATGAGACAGTCTGAGAGAGCCCTAGGGGGATAGGTTGAGTGATGGAAGACCAAGAGACCAGGTGTGGTGCGAGAGGAAGATGCTGGGGTAAGGAAGTGAGGACTCTGGGGCGTAGGAGGGTTCTGACTGCTCTGGCTTGAATGTAACGAGGTCACTCTGACAGTGGTAGAGAAGAATAGGAACAGGGAAATCAGGGTGACCTATCAAGAGGATGCTGGTGTTTATTCCTGGAGGTACTACTAAAGCAGCCAGGGGTAGCACCTGAGATGGGGGCAGGGAGGGATTGGGGCCTGTTCAGGCAGCAGCCTAGAAGAATGTGTAGATGGATTAGAAGAGATGAAAGAGTGGGTGATGCCTCTCTGGCCCTGGCAGTTGGTAACTGGACAAAGGCATCAGAGGGTACCCACAGCTTGGCAGGATAAAGGGGTCTGTAAAAAAACAATAATCAGACCAACAATGCATGTACTTCCTCATCCTATCCCAGAACCTAATAACCCAGATTCAGTCTCGGGGCGGTGTCCTGAAGCCCATTTCCTTCACACTACTTCCTAACCCTTACAGACCAGGATGGTGCCGAGCCCAGTGCCAACTCCGTGTCCGCCCACAACCTGCTTCGGTTGCATGGCTTCACTGGCCACAAGGATTGGATGGACAAGTGTGTGTGCCTGTTGACGGCCTTCTCTGAGCGCATGCGCCGCGTCCCGGTGGCATTACCTGAGATGGTCCGTGCCCTCTCAGCTCAACAGGAGACTCTCAAGCAGGTAGGGAGGTGGTAATGTGTGGACTGAGACCCAGGCCAGGAAGGGTCATGAGTGGAGTTCCAGGGCTGTCCCCAAAGCTCGCTTAGATGCCTGCAGGCGCTTATAAGGTCAGGGGTCTTCTCTCTGGAGTGGAGGTATCTGTGGAAGGGTAGTGTCAGAGGAGACATGCCTCTAGCCCAGGGACCTGCCTGTGAGGTCTTGTCATTGGGATGTCTGAGTATAAAGGCAAAATAAAAGGGGCTAAATATGGGTTTCTGGTGCTTGGGTGGCTGGTGAAATGTTTCTCTGTAGGGCTCTGCGTGTCGGTCTGATTAATTCTGTTCTATGTGCTTTATTGCTATGTCAACTCTTTAGTGTACACCACACACACACACACACACACACACACACACACACACACACGTTTTTCTGTTTTGTGGGCTGGTGTGGGTCAGAATGTTTGCCTATGAATACTTGTGAGTAACTGTGTGTATTTGTATGTGTGATATCCACTTCTATGGGCATCTATATGTGTGTATGTAACTACTCTGGTCCTCTTTGTGTGTTGTGTGCCATCCAGTGTATCTCCTGAGTTACTCCCCCATATCTGTATATCCACCACAATGTCTGAGGTTGCCACATGTGTGCATTCCAATATGTGTGTGTCTGTGTGTGGTTTACATGTTTCCACTTGCTGAGAATTAAATCTGATGAGTCCTCCTGGTGAGTCCTTTCCCTTTTTAGGGATACTGGGTGGGTGGAGGAAGGATGGGGAGGTTCTAGCAGGTCTGGGGCCCAGCTTCTCCCCTTCTGACATTGAATGACTTTCTTGTGATGGCTAGATCGTGATCTGTGGAGACCCCCAGGGCAAGGACACCAAGGCCCTGCTGCAGTGCGTCCACTCCATCTACCTCCCTAACAAGGTGCACATCTCTGCAAAGCTGGCTTCACCCTCTGCCTCCCCTGCTTGCATCTCCCTACTCAGATCCCAACATTCTTTTGGAAGCTTGGGGGAGAGGTCATGTCCCATTGGGCTCTGCAATGACCAGCTCCTTCTCCCAGGTGACAATTTGCTGCTCTGCCACTATCCCAGGTGCTGATTCTGGCTGATGGAGACCCATCGAGCTTCCTGTCCCGGCAGCTACCTTTCCTGAGCAACCTTCGACGAGTAGAAGACCGGGCCACAGCCTACATATTTGAGAACCAAGCCTGCTCCATGCCTATCACTGAGCCCTGTGAACTACGAAAGCTGCTACACCAGTGACTGCCCAGAACTATTTGAGCTGGGCCAGAAGGCAGAACTTAACAGCTGACTCAAGCCTTGCAAGACTATTCCAAACCCTATAGCCACTCCCTGGGAACCCTGCCACCAGGTGACCACTGCCATCCTTGCGGCTCCCCCCCTGGGCATCTACTCACCATGAAATAAACCTAACAGCATCCCGTGGTGACCTTGAGGCCCTAGCCTCTCTTGTGTGGGAGAGCCCTCTGATTTAGCCTGAGACCAGCTCTTCCTCTGAGAGTCCCCAGCTGATTCCTTTGTCTCCTCTCATTGTCCCTTCCATGGGTCACTAGACTGATATTGTCTCTGCCCAAGATTAGTAAGCTTGGATGTAACTGAGTCAGTGGACCAAAACCAAGTACAAGGATCAGAGTGAAGACAAGATACGTACTGGCCCAGGAAGGAAAAGCCTCTGCTAGGAAGTGGCCTTCCATCTTCCCCCTGGTCCCTTCATTTAAAGCTAGGAAAGGGATAGGGGGCTTAGTATAGGCTTTAATGTTTAACAGAAAGACATTTTCATGCACTGTAGCGTTTTTGTAGAAACTGTTACAGCCAGAACCAACCCATTTCTTTGGGGGGTACCCATCCAACATTGGCATCACTGCAGGAGGTCATGTTCATCCTTTGCCTCCTGAATGATGGGCTGGGAAAGGGCTCTCTTGCATGTGGAGCATCTGTTGTGTTGGAAGCCCTTCCCCAAATCCATCTGACTCCTGCTGCAGAGGAAGCTGGCACCTTCCTGGAACCTCCTCCTGTCCTCTCAGTGTTGGGAGATGCTCTTGAATCCCATCCTTGACAAATGAATCTTCACAGAAAACTCCACGTAGCTGCCATCAGACAAGGAACCTGGAAGACATGGTTGGGATGGGCAGGTAGAGAATGATGGGGTTGTGAGATTGTGGAGAAACTATTTCCTTGAGGTCTGCTGAGTATGATCATCACCCTAATCTCCAAGCCAAACAACACAGATAGCCAGAAGAAGCTGCCAGAGAGACAAAGAGGGATGGATGAAGCGGGGGTGGGGAGCACACTGGTAGGGGAATGTCAGAAGCAAGGAGGAATGGAGCAGAAAAGAACCTAGAGATAGGGCATTGTCACACACACACGGCTACACATGGCCACTGAGACCAGAGTTGTCTCAGTCTGGGCAGCAGGCCCTTGGTGCAAGCCACCAGCCCATCTGGAGGGGATTAGCACTCTGGCCAATGAGGTCAGCTGGCCCCTTTCTTGATGGATCCCTCTCAGTCTTGCCAGCAAGTCAAAGACTGAACACGTGGAGCCTGCCTTGGGGGCAGCAGGAAGGGCGAATACAACATGGTGAGATGCAGGTGGCCTTTTTGGCAGCCCAGCACTGGATTTGTAACAAATCTGGGCAGTTCATATAGTCTTCTTGCCCCAGCGACCCTCACGAATGAGATGGCTAAGCAGGAACCTTTAGCTTTCCAGGGCTAGCTATTGGAGGACCAGAATTGGTAGGAGTCTAGCCTGACACCCCTGAGAACATACCAGGTTCTCCCTGAGGGCTTCAGAATGGCAACAGAGATCACTGAGGCTTCTTTCTACCAGGAGGTGGAGGCTTGGCTATGAAGGAGAGTGTATTTGGTATTTCCCCTCCACCCTGCCTTCCTTTTGCATCTCCCTTTTCCCTTGTACTATCAGGCAGGCACAGGACTATGGCATCTTGTAAATAGATTCAGAGAAAGGAATTACTTCTCCCAGGAAGGTTGGGTTTTCCAGAGCACAGGCTGAACATAACCTTTCCTGGGTGTGAAGTTGATTTAAAAGTCCCACAACATACCTTCTTCTTTCTTGGCAAGTGCCACCTTACCCCCCACCATGCTCTCTCTTCTGTCAGCAAGACTCTACTGGGGCAGCCATGGCCTAGGGTCACAATACACATGGCGTTATTGTTTGGGAGTTGTCATTTCATTTCCCTGAGTCCCAGATTCTGTAACTGAGAAATGAGGGGTTGCATTTAATTCCAAGAGATGTGGAGGTGACTAAGGGATGCTTGCAGCATTCCTGAGTAAAAAGTACCACAGATGGGTGATGAATTTTATTCTTAAGGGTACCAGTATGCAGCAGGGGAGAGGCAAAGGCCAGAAGCTGCAGGAGCTTGGAGGGGTTTGATATGGGGTACTCTAGTAAACTCAGAAGAAAGTTTGGAACATAAAGGTCTAGCTTGGTAGGAAAACCAAGGCACAAACAAAGGAGGTTTTTTTGTTTGTTTTGTTTTTGTTTCACAGGGTTTTTCTGTGTAGCCTTAGCTGTCTTGGCCCATCCTGGAACTAGCTCTGAGGATCAGGCTGGCCTTGAACGCTCGGAGATCCACCTGCCTCTGTCTCCCAAGTGCTGGGATTAAAGGCATGGACCATTACCACCAGGCTCATAAAGGAGTTTTTTTGTTCCTCTCCTCCACTTCCTGGTTTGGGGCCATCTAAAAAAAATTCACTAGGTGCCCACTATGTATGTGTCAAGCATTAGGCTAGGGCTTGGAGCAAGGAACACAGACTAGGGGCAGAAATAAGTCTACACTCTTCATCTCTGACCAGACTTTGTACTGTGAGGTTTCCCACCTTTGACTGATTTAGCACTGTGTCCTCAGCACCTTCTACTGGTAAGACCCTTCCCTTCCAGAAAGAGGAGGCTGGGGAGATTGCTCAGTGGTTAGGAACATTGGCTGCTCTTCCAGAGGACCTGGGTTCAATTCCCAGCACTCACATGGCAGCTCACAACTGTCTGTAACTTAAGTTCCAGTGGATCCGATTCCCTCACACAGACATGTAGGTCAAACACCAATGCACATTAAAAATAAATCTCCAGAAAGAAGTCTAGTAGGGAGAGGTGGTGCCAGAGCTGAGACTTGGGGCATTACCATGAAAGGCTTCCTATCTTCCCTTGCTTTCCTCTTCCACCACTCAGGTAGCAGATAGGGTCCCCTGATGCCCTAGGCTGTCCTAGATGGCAGATGTCTCCCACTTACAAACCCAGGGAAGAAGGTCTCAATTCTCCAGCTGGTGTCTGCTTGTCTCTTTTCTTGGTATGTTCCATAACAGGGCAGCCCAAGGATGAAGATGTAGAGCTTCTGACCACTGGAGAACTGTGGGCCTGGGCAAGCTTCTGGCCTAATGTTATTCTCAGAGACTGGATTATGAGAGTCCATACCTCTAGCTGCCAACCTAGGGCTTCAAGATGGTGGCAGAAAGGCAAGCCCACCTGCTAGACTGAGAACACACAGGAAGGAGAAAGGAGTTGTCGGGTTGTAGGAGCAAGCCATAAATAGCTCCCCTCTCCCAGAAGAGGGCCCCGAGTTCAAGATTGGCGCCTCACACTCCGGAATGAGAGCAGAGACTCCCTCCAGGAGAAATAAGCACTTAGGGGATCTGCTCATTAGCATGAAATGCAAATAGGCCTGGCCTCATTTACACAACTCAATGCTGGGATTTGGCGAAAGGGCAACCAGGAAGGTGACAGCGCAGCAGCTCTGCCCTCTTCACCCCACCTTGGCAACTGGCCGGAGTGGGAACTGTGACGGCCCCAAACCCATGTTGTGGTGCCAAGAGGGCTCTGGAGGATGCGTGGGTGGTGAAGCTTTACCAGGGAAGGACGCCTGGGAATCAGGGGCTGCAGGAGGTAATCCGGTCCATTCCTCAGCTTTTCCGCAGTGGCTTGTGCTTTCCTGAATCTACCGAGACTATGGATCCTGTCGGTTCCACTGTATACACCCTACGCAGATTGTGGAGACGTTTCCCTGCGTTTAACCTCAACGCTTCCCCCTCTCCCTCTCACGTTCAGAACTCCTGTGGCATTTGGTTCTCTGGCACCCACAGCCTTTTGGAGGCACTGGCAACGAGGGTGAGGGAGCTAGAATTGACTGAGCCTCGGAACATAGGGAGATGAGGCCGGGCGAAAGCCGGGGTCTCGGCTTGCGTGTACACGCCTGGGAAGCACACAAGCGCAAACACCACTCCCAGTAGAGTGGTGGAAGTGAGTAACTCTGCGGAGCGTTTATCTCTAGACAGACTTCCCTTAAGCCATATTGGGAATCTGAGAAAGGGGAGAAACTGAGGCACAGAGTGGAGCTTTGCAGGATGAAGTTGGTAAAGCTCAGCTCTAAAAGCCGTTCCCTTCCACAGTGGCCTTCGCAGGCAGTCTCCACTTTGGGGCTGCAGGTGATCTAGGTTCTACTGTCTGGTGCCACTCCTGGGGGCTATGCTTTTCCAGCATGAAGCCCCTGAGAGGAGTCTCCACCCCACAATCTAGAAGCAGGATATGACGCTCAGAGCATCAACGAGATGGCCTGGGTCTCGCTCAGAGCATTAGCGAGAAGGGTTAAGGTTAAGCCAGGGTCAACGTCTTAGAAGTGGACCAGGGATCTGGACCAGCAAACCTAAGAGGCTGGTGGAGGACATTCTCAGACCACACCCACCTCTACCTTTCTAGTGTCGCCTATTGCCCTCAGTCACCTTCCAGCCTGAAACTCCAGGAGTTCCACTTTTCTTCCCTTTCCCCAGTCTGGCTCCTGGTTCAAGCGCAGGGTGAGTGATTCACCAGGTGGAGAGTCGAATTTCGCCGTGGGACCCCGGTAGCATTCCTAACTCCTGTCTTCCTTTTCCAGCCCTGCTTAGAGCTAAGTTCTGCCTTCTGGCTGCTGTCCAATTCGGGGGTACTGGACAAAAGATGTCAGAGGCCCGTAAGGGCTACCCCAGGACTCCATGCCAAATACTCTGATTTCTAGAGGCTCCCTCCAGGGGAGTCCCAAAGACCCCAGAAACCAATAGGAAAGTGGGTTCGGTCTGGACAGCTGTCTGATTGGCCCCAGGCTTTGGGAACGAACCCAGGGGCAAGAGGAGGGGAGAAAGGCGGTCCTGGTTTTGGGGTGGGAACCGGATTCCAGCTGTGGTTCTCTCCCCCGGTACCCCCTCCCGCACTGGCACGGCGGCTGACCAATGGAAGGGCGGCTCTGGACCGGTGACGCACGGCTATTGGCTGTGAGGTTAGCTGGGGAGAGGCGGGGCCGAGGCTTGAAGTTGGAGTGAGGGATCCAGCTGTGGTGTGCGCCGGGCTGCTCGCCGCCGCTTTCGCTAGCTCGCTC